CTCTAATAACACAAATACAACAACTAATTAGAATTATATGGAATAATGAGAGCATTCCAAAAGACTGGAACTTGGTGATTATCTGCCTAATATTTAAGAATAGTAATTCAGAAAAGGTAGAAAACTACTAAGGTTATCGTCTTATTAGACACATGCTACAAAGCGATATCCTTGGAAATCCTAAGAAGGTTAGAAGTATACGCCACTGATATCATTGATGTATATCAATGCGGTTTTAGGAGAAGGAAATTAACTACAGACCATATCTCCATGCGTCAAATCATGGAGAAATATTATATGATCAAAATTTATACATACTTTTTATATACTTCAAGCAGGTCTACGATAGTATGAACAGGCAACAACTATGGACAGCTCTGAGAAATTTTGGAATTCCTGAAAAATTAGTAAGGATGATTCAAATTTGTAACTCGAATACATATTTCAAAGTTCGTTATCGAGGAGAGCTATCTGACCTGTTTGAGATTAAGGCCGGTTTAAAACAAGGGGATGCTCTATCCCCTATTATATTTAACCTCACATTAGAAAAAAGTAGTTAGATACACGGAAACATGTCATGAAATGGAACTAAATGAAAAAAACGGTCATACTAGCTTACGCAGACGACATTATAATTCTAGGAGATACCAAAAACGAAATAATAAGTACCACAGAAAGTTTAATTAAATCTAGTAAAAATATGGGTCTCAGTATAAATGAAAACAAAACCAAATACCTAATAAAGTTCAGAAAAATGCTAAACAAATCTGACTTAAAAGTATTACCATATTGTTTTGAGCAGATGGATAATTTTCAGTACCTGGAAGAAAATATTAATGAGAATAATATGCATAATGAGATACAAATAAGGATAAATGCGGCAAATCGAGCATACTTTGCCATTAACAAAATTTTAAGCTTCAGAATGCTATCAAAAACCACGAAAGAAAAACTTTACACCTGTTATTTACGCCCAGTAGCAATGTAATATGCATGTGAAACTTGGTCCACTACGCAAGGCGATGAAGAAAAACTACTAACATTTGAGAAGAAAGTCTTGCGGAAGATAAATGGGTTCAAACGAAATTTAAATGGAGAATATGTAAGAAGGAAAAAACGCGGACATAGAAAAGATGTACAACAAACCAAATATTGGAAAATATCTCAAAGAAAAAACGCCTGGAGTGGACTGGCCATGTTTAGCGAACTGACGGAAGCCTTATCGTAAATTTTTAACTAAGAAAATCAACAAAAAACGACCAAGAGGGTAAAATTCAATGATGAATAGATAGAATAGTTAAAAACATTAAAGAAATATATGAGGGGATAATAATGGAAATGGCAAGAGATCGTGAAAGATGGAAAGGCTTGGTAGAAGCGTGCAAAAGGCCTTAAAGGCCTGTTGAGCACAAAAAAAAGATGAACAATATATTTCAAATAGATAACTATTACTAATATTATATATGGATTATACTTTATACTTGTCAGGATTTCAATACTACTTTTATTTAATATGATTGATTTCGTATGTGTATTTGTTTAATTTCTGTCTAATATAATCAACGGTCTGTCAAGTTAAACGCATTCTAATTTCCAATTTTTTTAAAATCATTCTGTTACCTTTGAAATTTTTGTTAGACTTATAATAATAATTATATAGTATATCAAACTGCATTATTACATTTTTTAATAACTTAAATACAATTATAGCATATTTTAAACTGAAATAAGTTTCCTTAATAAATGAATAATTTAATTTAATTAATAAATTAATAATTAATAATTTATATTTTCTTTAGTATTGCCATTAATATTAGTTTTCAAATTAATATAACATTAAAACAAGTTATTAAAAAAAAAGTCATAGAGTTTTAATAATAAAATGAATACATAGAATATTTTTTTGTAAAAACAAATGTCATAATTTACAACGAAAATATTTCATTAAAATGCATTACGGTTAAATAATAAAATAATATGATGAATACTAAGTATAAGAACAATTTACATGTTCATTGTATACATATTTTTATTATATTATTATTATTATTATTATTATTATTATTTATTTTATTATATTTTTATTATCTGACTAGGTGAATAAATGTTTATACAATATATCTTCAAGAAAATTTTTACGAATTGTGTTTAATGTATCTTTTAATACAAAAGTTTGTTTAAGGTTATGTATTTAGATTATGATTAAGCAGTATACGAGTATATTTGAAAAAATTTGTTATTTGAATTTAAATTCAGATAAGTTAGCCAATTTCATATGCAAATATATGAACACAAACTATAAAAATGTAAATACTTCGGAGAATGCTCAGATGAATATTTTAATAATAATTTAAAGCATTTGTCTTATTACATACCTAGATCAGTAAATTTCAATGAATAATTAATTTTTTAGATATATAAAATATTGTGCCCGATTTACGTAAGCTGAATAAATAAGTGTAAAACGCTATACTGTAGAACAATCGAAAAAGAAACCATCATATATATCTCTCAGCTGGCAAGTAAATATTTATTATAAAATGACTCGTTCACGATGCTATAAAGGTTAGGTAGTAAGATATTAATGGTTGGCTGCAAAAAACATACGTATGCATACTCGAGAATACAGTAGTCCAACTAGTTAATTATTTACTTGAAAAGAGTTATTTATATACAATCGTTGTCGCTCCTGGGTAATTTAAATTCCTATATGGTCATTGTGTAGTGGTTAATATAGTAGGTGAAAATAATTTTTGAAGCATAAAAAAAATGTAAATGTATCTACACACTTAATTAAATAATAATTATTTACGATTCTAAAGTGGTTCTAAATTAAATATTTCAAAAATGTTAAACGTTTGGATACTGTCAGATTAATTAAATGTTATAAACAGGTACTTTTCTTTAAATTTTAAATGAAGCTTAGATAATAGGAATCTTTAGTTATAGTTTTTAATGTTTTAAATTTATATTGGTTTCTTGTAGCACGCCATTAACAATTATACTAAAATTAAAATTTATTGTTTCTAGAAATGTCGTTTAGTTGATCTTCTTTGAGAATTGGAAATATATTTTTAATTGGTAATCGGGGACACTTATATCATCGACGCTTCTTGCAATGTCGTGTTATTTTATTTTCATTTAATTATATCTATATTACATCAGTTTTAACCATAATTTAAAACGTAATTTTATATATTAAAACCACCTTAGATGAAACGTAATAATTTGGTAACTGATTAGTTGAATCTCCTTGTTTAAGGTGAATGTGGGCAATTATTAGTATTTTTATTTTTATTCTATTTTTTCATAATATTTTCAATTATTCCCAAAGTTTACATTTTGTTTTAATATTAATTAGTTTATAATTAAATTTATGCATTTAATATAAACTTACAATGAATATAGTTATATTTTTACTATCTATTACTGTTTATATTTTACTAATATTTTGTCTATAAATTTAAATAATTTTCCGTACTGTTGATGGGACCTTATAAATTTGAAGCATTAAAATTTAAGTATTAAATTAACAGCAAGTTATTTGATTTCTTAAAAAAATCCACGGCTTGTTTTATAATTTAAAAAAAATATTTTTTATTTGTTATGATTAATAATGAAAATTATGAATAACGAGATTCCATATCTAAAGATATTATTCACTGATTGTTTTAACAAATCGATAGTACAACAAATTTCTTATCATTTATTATGACGTTTGTTGAATTCACCCAATTTACATAGTATATTTTAATGCTTTAACATAAATTAGCGAGAATAGAAATTTGCTAACAATAACTAATTTATATGATATTTTTTACTCATGAATAATTGAATAAAAAAAACTAATTATTAATTTGTGTAAAATAATTCAATTATATTTTGAAATGTAGCATTTGACAAAATGGTTAATTTTTATTTAAATTCGATTTACATTTGTGTAGTAGTAAATAATTATACTTTTTATTATACCATAGCATTTAAAATACTTCATTCATAAACCAAAAAAAAAAAAAAAATTAATTTAATTTATAATGTATTATAAGAACGTTTTAAATACGTAATTTAAAGTAATAAAGATTTAAAAATTATTATAACCTTATTAAAAATGTTACAGGATTAACAGCGTCAATCCATTCCGAAGTGTAGGTAGCAAAAACACGTTATATTAATTAGTAACGTGTTCATGAACTCGTTAGTATACTTAGGTTTACCGTAAATAAAAAAAAAATGGTTGAGGGGTGAAAGATAAAGACATTTAATTTGTGTTTAACTTTTTTCTTATAATTACTCGATGGATTGTTCTAACCGCTAACTGAATATTCGTGTATAGTAAAAGTATATGATTTGAGTTCAAAATGTTTTTATGGTTTCAACATCTGCACAGAGATTGAAATTATTATATTCGTTGGAAATTCAACGCATCGTAGTTCCATAAAATTGTTTAGATAAAACTGTTAAAAACAATTGATTTTCGTTATAATCTTGCATAACTTCAGAACGAACGTGTCTTGGGTCGTTTTGTTAAAGGTGAAAGTATAGCGATAAAAAAAGTGCCGTAGCGAAGCATTGAGCACTTACGTCTTGGCGCGACGATTGCGTCAAAACCATACGTAAGAGGAACGTCAAAATGTTGACAGTAAAAAAAAAAAAAAAAAACAAAATTAATACAAACAATAAAGGGCCGCCGCAAACGGTGATCGCGAGCGTATCGAGATAGTAGTACGTACACGTAAGTTCGCACCGATGGCACCTTTTGCGGTTAGACGCGCGTCTCCGGGTGGTCCGCTGTAAAAAATGATATACGCCGAAGAGATTCTTTACGGCACCGCCGGGTGTGCTTAAGAGTTGTGCGCGCGCGTGCGACCGTATCCGCGCGGCGCCGACTACGGGGTCGGGACGATGGGGGTGGGACGCAACCGCTGCCGACGACGACGACGCCGCCGGCCGCTGACACCGACAGGGACCGACCGACGACCGTTTCGTGGCAAAGGCCACATCGTGCATCCATGCACACGCCAGTCGGTCACGCCGCGCCGCCCGACACACTTGCGTTCGTCACCGCACCTTTGTTCACCAATCGGTCTGCCGCCGCGTGACGGACACGCACAACATGCCGTTGATACCGTCGCCCTGCACATCGGTAACACCACCGTAGCTGTGGCCGGGGCCGACATCTTCGGGTTGTACCTTCACCAATTTTTTCCCCGTTAACCGTTATATTTCGTTTTTCGCACGGTGGCCACGGCACGCGGATTTCTTCTCGCGTCGACCAAGTTCAACGACAACGTTTTCTTTTTTCCACCAATCCTCGCTCAATCGGACGTAACGGACTGAAGCGGATCATAGACTACTGCGGTTCACGGTACGTACGTGTTCACAATAATAGTGTTATACGTTGACAATTAGCGTCCGGCCGGGCCGACGATTATTTTCAAGTCACTCGTGCGCAAACGGAATTCCGGATTGTTTTAATGTTAATAAATCCGGTCGATCCGTTACATTTTTCCTACATTAATAGTAATAATAACTGATTATTTAGATTTGACTTGGCCGTGGGGACAATGATAATAATAACGATCCTATCAATCATTTCGTAAATATTTTATTTGTGATTTTCTTTCAAAAAATTATACTTACCTTCCTTTGCTCCACCAACACAATGCTGCCCGTAATGTTCAACATCTGATTTGGCTTTATTCCATCTAATGATAATTGTACATACATATACTTTTGTTCATTACTTATTTAAGTATCACTCTGATTGCAATTTATGGTGAATATGATTGTAACATGCCATTAGATTCATAATCACTATTGCATACTATATTAGCGCTCTAATTGCTGAACATTTTTACATTATTGATGGCATATGTATTGCATGTTATGTACCTGGGTTCATTATATACCATGCCATAGAAAGCAAGAGAAGTGTTGGTAGACAAAGGAGATCTTGGTCGAAAAATCTCTGACACTGGTTTAGTGCAACAATAAATGAATTACTTCGTTCGTCGTTAGAAAGAGAAGCAGCATTCAATATGATTTACAACATCCGAAATGGATTGGAACTTCAAAAAGAAGAATATCTATTCAAGTTTTGTATGTTAACTCATAAATGTATGAGTACATATGCTTTAAAAAATATTCGTCTGTAAGGCTTTCCATTCAAAGGCTAAATACATATAAAAAAAAAAAAAAAAAAAAAATAAGTTAGCGACAATATTGATCAATATTGGTCCATAAGCCTCAAATAAAAAGAATAACGTTAACTTTCATTGTTGTTTGTTCTATTCATCAGTATTTTTTTGCTGAAAATTTCACTTATAAATTAAGCTTTTAAATTACATGAAAGAACTTTTGAAAAACACATATTAAAGTATAAAGTTTCAACCATTGTATGGATTTTAATCAAAATGTTTGTAGTTCTATATGATATCACAAATTTTGTAATAAGGTAGATTATATTATTTATCGTAATTGATTAAAAAGTTTTACCTTGGAACTCGTCAGTTTTAATTCCACTTTGGAAGTTCTTTTAACTTTTTAGTTATATAGGTTCTATGTTACTGATATCAAATAATTTTATGCTATTACAAACAATAGTTGTTTATTAAAGTTGTATTGGGTTTCATAAAGTTTCAGATAAGACTGCTTTCAGAATTTAATAATTCTCAAAAAGGTGTTTAAAAATGTGAAACTATTGATAAATTTAATATTAAGTTTTAACAGTAATTATGATGTACTTGTGATTGAGATGACATCATTATGATATTAAAATAATTTTTCAGTCTATTATAGAAAAATTTGTTTTTAAAATGCGTATATTTTGTTTAAAATATTAATTTCTTAAAAAACAACTATACTCAAAGGCCTTATATACGGATTTTTATTTATGTCTTAAATTATCTGGCATTCAATTGTTATTCGATACACATAAATAATTAGAAGTTAAGCTATATGATATTAATTTATGATCGTTGTATTTATTGTTGACATGCTCAATTTTTAAACATGGTTTGGATTATAAGATACACTGATATAATTTTTTACCACATAAATATATATAGTTTAGTTTGTATCATTTTCTATAAACATTTAAATTACCTTTAAATTGTTAGATACTAGATTTTTTTTTTATAAGAGACAGTATTGTACAACGAAATATGTGTTTTAAATTATTAATCTACAATATTATGTATTGGCATTGTGTAATTTATGAAATTTATATATTGCTAATATTATATTTATGTTTCAAACTATATAAAATATAACTTTTTTACAATTCCATAATCACGTAGATTTATAGTATTATAAAATAATAAGAAGTTAAATATTTATTTTATAAAATAAACTTAGAAATATGTAAAAATATGCAAAATAATTTTTTATACATGGTTTCATTATTCTATGAAGTGGATTTATATCTCTAACTTAGTTGATTTTACATGTAAAATAAATAAATATGTAAATTCCATAATTATTTATACTCTAATAATATACGAATAATAATAAAATATATTCGAATTTGAACATACTAAGATAAGTGTGAAAAAGTAGCAAACGGGTGTTACATAAAGAAAAAATATAATACATTTTTTTTTTTTAGTTATACACATTTTTTTTTCGTATTCACTCATTGTTCTTATTAATTTTAACTAAGAAATATGTTTAATTTTAATTTCTAAAAGTTTATAAAATTAAATATAATATATTAATATACATTTTATATTTAATTATATCTATAATTATTACTGGTACACATAATTTTTGTCATAACATTTTATTAAATATCTATAAATGGTTTAACTATTTTAAAAAAAAAGTAATTGAAAAAAAACTAAAAAGTATATTATAGTATTTTTACTTAATTTTATATAATTTCAATTTCAATCAAGTATTTAATTTTATGAATAAAAATATTAAATTACAAGAATAATTATAAGTAAATTACCGTTTAATTTTATACTTTATTAGTTCAATTTAAATACTTATATTTATACTTAAATTATAGTTTTGTATTATATTATCAGCAGTAGTTAATATTAAAAATATTTGATCTTATCTAACTGAGTTTCTAACTATAATTAAAATAAATAATAAGCACTGCTTTACTTTCCAAGCAATTGATAAAATGTTGAATTTTTTTATCTGTATTTTTTTATTAGTAATGAATTGGTTAGAATCTTATTTTTTCTTTCAAAATAAAATCATCGTTTTTATGTTATTAATGATAAATAGAATATAAATACAGTCTAGGTACTTAAATAATCAATTTTATGTTTTTTTTTTTTTTTTTTGGCAACTGTTTGGCATTATTATTGGTGTTTTATTTATGTTTTTACATGTTTTATTAGCTTTAGACATTTTATTTTGAACAAATCACCTAATACTATCAATAAACTTTATTAGCTAATTTAAAATTTATGGGACATAAAATTTTAACCACAACATATAATTTAAATAAATTAACAAGTATTGTTAAATCTATTCACTGGAGGTTTTTAAGCTATAGTAAAATAATAATAATAATAGTAATTAGAAAATAATTATTTATTTATACTTCCTTATTTGAAAAACATTGTCATCTATATTTTTTTGCAGGCTAAAAATTAGTGTATACATTTTATAATCAAGTATGAAAAAAAAATATCACCCTAAGAAAATTAGAATAATGAGACTTTTTACCACTTTCATCGCCGTTTAAACTATTATTTATATATTATAAAATCCATTTAAGAAAAAAATATGGTTGCTTTATAAAAATGTTTTCAAAAATTATATAATATACTAATATATATAATACAATCGTGAGAAGCAGAGCCTTTAATTCTAAATTATCAATCTTCGAAGAATTTATACATAGCTATTGGATTTTTGTTATTACTATCCAAAATAAAATATAAAATAAAACAAAGCTTACGATTTATTAAGATGATTAGGTATCATTTACAAAAAGAATCCATTAAAATCTATGTTGATTTATAATTATTTACTGGATAATAAACTTCATCTGTTCTGTTAAACCCTAAAATACACTTTAATACGTCAAGTATTTAATTATACACTATTATAAATTACCTTAATTTGTCATATAGTATACTATAAGTATTATTATTTAACGTTTTTCTTACTAATAACGTATATATCACAGAAAAAAAAATATTTTATTTAATCATTGACATTATTTATACAGAGTTTGTGTATTTCAGTTATAAAATAATTTATGATTTTAGTTTAAGAATGACTATTTGTTTTTGTATAAATAATAAGGAGAGAATAAATAATTCTTATTTGTAACTTTTATTAATATTAAAACAATTTTTTTTTTCATCCTAGCTTAGTATAACTATCAAAGAACTATTTATTTAAGTTTTATGAAAACATTGTGCTAAATGTTAATAACTTTATATCAATACACAAAAATGATTTTTTAAATTGTTATTTTGAGTAATAAATTCAAATAATTAAAAAAGTTTGAATGTTAGTGAGTCATATTTCTTTGATATAAATAACATAATGTATTTTCTAAACTAATCAGCGATAAAAGTCTTTTTATACTCAATGTCATTAAAATTACATTTAGGGATACCGATTTCAAATATTAAAATTTTTATATATATTTAATATACTTAGAAAACATTAAAACATTTGTCAATACTAGTCAGTGAACTTTGATAAGTATAATTAGAGTTAATAAGTGACTACAGCATCGTTTATTTACAATACATCTATTGCATTCTAGTTATTCATAAGGATATTTATTGATTATCGATTGATGGTAGTTAGAAACAATAAAATTATTTTATATGGTGAATATTATGCACTTGATTCTATTGAAATAATAATGTATATATAAAGATTATTATGTTAACTTTTTAAAATTATAATGTATATTCATAAACAATACATGTTATATATTAAACACATTATATATATATATATTTAACATTTACACTTAAATTATTTATATTAACATTGGTTTTTTTAAATACATTCGTGTAATTATTTGTTTGTTATTTTAATATTTTTCGTGTATATATACAGGGTGTTTTTGGAATGAATGAGGACACTAGTATACACGTACTCGCTGAGATGGCCAAAAGTATATTTTTTTTTCAACCTCCAAAATCTTGGTTTATTCAATTTATTTTTAGGACATTACCTTAAATGTAAAAATAAACACTTAAGTTGTATTTTTTGGAAAATTCTCATACGAATCAAGACGTTATACTGTTTTTGGGCTTGTCCCGAGTTTTTCACGCTCAAGTCGCCAACTAAAAAAAAAAATCGTGTGACACATCAATTCGTATGAGAACACTTCAAGATAAATAGCGGTAATAGTATTTTGTTATCAGTTAACGTACATAAGTAATTAAAACAGCTTTAACATTATAAAAAAATCATAATTAAATATATTTTAAATTTAAAATCAATTTTTATTTACAAAAGTTGTTCAATGTGACTAGATATATCTATGCACTTTTCCACACGACGATGTAATGAACTCCAAGTTTTTTCCAATACATTTGGTGTTTATCGTATGATATCAGCTACATTATTAATTCTCATCAAAAGTTCATCTCTATTATTTACTTCTTTGACACAAACTTGTTCTTTCATAAAACCCCATAAGAAATAGTCACATGAGTTAAAATCAGGACTGTGTGATGGTCATGTTATGTCTGGGCTATATTGAGCATTATTTCCAGCTCCTCTATCTATAAATTTGTCTGGGAAAAGATAATGCGTTTGTTGTCGGACTGCATTTGTATGATAAGGAGGTACACTATTTAATATAAACCACTTTGATTCTTGTTCTTCCAATGGTACGTTCTCTAATAGTACCGGAAGATCATACATAATAAAATATAAAAATCCCTGACCATTCAAGCTAGCTGGTAATTCATATCTTTTGTAAATATAAACATAATAATAAATTAAAACTCTATTAACTCTAATTTTGTTATTATTTCATCATTGTTACAAGTAGATATTGTTAAAGCTATTTTAATTAATTATGTGTGTTAGTTGACAACAAATCACCAACGTTTATCTTGAAGTGTTCTCATACGAATCGATGTGTCACACGATTTTTTTTTTTTTTTAGTTGGCGACTTGAACGTGAAAAACGCGTGACAAGCCCAAAAACAGTGTAACGTCTTGATTCGTATGAGAATTTTCCAAAAAATACAACTTAAGTGTTTATTTTTACATTTAAGGTAATGTCCTAAAAATAAATTGTTTAAACCAAGATTTTTGAGGTTGAAAAAAAATTTCAAAAAAATCTACTTTGGGCCAGCACAGCGAGTACGCGTATACTAGTATCTTCATCCATTCCAGAAACATCCTGTATACTCGTATAATATAAATATAAATATATTAAACTATTTATATAATGAAATAAATTTGTAAAATGTGGAGACGCTATGTTGCAACATATACCATATTGTCGGTGAAAAAAATAAGTGGTGCCAAGCAGAATGCATAAGTGACATTACTCAGGAGTCACACATTTAGCGATCAATTATATTTTAGTGGTACAAATACCTATTCTACCTCGTGCAATATATAATATTATATTATTATTGTGTAATATATAAATATGCACCAAAGAATAATGCTATTGCATAGTTTTAGCCAAATTACATTTAATTTATTTACAATAATATAAATTAAAAAAAAATGTATTTTGATTAACACACATCGCTCTATATTTAATGTAGTATCGGTATTGACAAATATCGTACTTTTTAAAAGCGAGACTACAGTCATTATTATTATTATTATTTTAGCATAGAAGTGGTGTATAACTTAAACACTGCTGAAAATCTATTGAAATTAGATTTATTCTTATGTACGTGGATAACAAATAATTTAATAACCAAAGAAACTAATTACTTTGTATGATTATATAAAAAAAATCGGTCTGGAATAAAAATGACATGACGTGAGAGCCTACTTTGATAATTTGATCACCTATCACCTATAAATATGGCATCATGTAACTTTATATGAAAATATCACTTGTATTTATTTATTTTACTTTTAATCTCACAAAAGTCCATTAACTATATTTTGTGTATGGTTAATTGATTTACTTAATATTTATTATAACTACAACACCTACCTCTTACCTTTTTTTTAATTATTATTAACGATAATTGATTGGTACACATATTCAATGAAATAATTATACTCAAAACAATATTTTTTCAAACATATAATACGTGTATCAAAATAAACGTTTGCTTAGTGGATCGGATATACAGGTCACTGACTAGGTATTATAAAACAATTTTCTCAGTTTACACACATGGACTATACAAGTGTAGGTTGGTTATATTTTACATCTGAAAAAACACTATAAATCATCTTGTTTGTGAAAATACTCTAAGTGAAAAACAATGACAGTCATTTTATCTTAAAGTAAGTGATTTTTAAGAAAATTTAAGGAATTTCATACGTTTATTAAGAATTTTGATGTTTTAAATTACAACTTTTATTAAAATGCATTAAACAATTATTATAGTTATTAATATTATCAAAATCAGCATTACTAAAATAAATTAAATACTACCCGTGCATCAGTTCATAACCAATAGCTTGTAGATGTGGTAACAATAGTATTATACTTTCTGATATAACCCCAAAAAACTATACAATTTTTTTATTGAAAATAGATTAATAAATAAAAATATGATATTGGATACTTCAATTAACATCGAACCTCTATAGGATATTATAATTCTAAATATAAATTATTTATATTTACCACCAGTTATACAAGTTATAAATAATTTATAACTTGTATAATTATTATACGTTATATTCGAAACTAACTATTGAGAAATGTATTTATTTTTTCTGTTACCATGGGTAACTTAATGTGTTTTATGTAATACGTACAACGTAATGTTATAATATATTATAATATTTTTTTTATTAATAATGTGATTGATGTAATATTTATGTTATAAACTTAATATATCTTATAAAATTTATACGTGTCTCAAAAAACTTATTTATTTTATATAGTTTTTATGCAAAAAAAGAAAATTTAAATTAATTTCACATACACAACAGTATGATATTTTTTTACCATATTTTAAGTTTAGATTACTGTGGTATGTTTACTTTTTAGTCAATAATTTTTAAAATATTGAATTTATTACCTATTAATTTTTAACATAGATAAGATATTCATATTTATTAAACAAAAAGTTATCATGAAACAAAAATATTTGAACCTAAGAAAATGATTGATGGCAATAGAAAAATTACTAAGTCAGTGTGTAATTCATATTATGTGATATTTTTACGGAATAAGAATGATTGCTGAAAAATTCCTAGGAGTTTTGAACAAATTTCATACATAAATTTAATCTTATTTTACTATGTCGTGTGTATTTACACATTGCATTCAATAGTACTGATATCATGTCTCAATTTGAGTAAATACCACTGCACTTTTTTTTTTTTTTTTTAGTGCTATTTAAATGTAATCAAATTAAATTAAAAGTAAGGAAAATATTATAAGGAAAAATTAAAATTAAAAATATCTGTTATATAGAATATTTTTGATGAATTTGTTATTATGACATTAGCTTACACGTAATCGTGTTCAAGCGTAACAAAAACTTTTTATAGTTAAATTGATGTGTTTAAATATTTGCCCCAGAACATTCTATTTACACCATGATCTCGTAATAATATTTAGATTGATAGATATCATATTGCTATTATTATGATATTTTATTTTTTTCAGCTTCTAAACGATGTCTAATAGAAATGAGTCGTTTGCGGCTGAATATTGTCCTGGTGAAACAGTCACATTGTACAGTCAACAACACCACACGAGGATACATCTTCAAAATAATGGCCATACAAATAATCATATTCCTTTAAATCAAAGTAAAAATTCATTATTTTATTCTTATACTTATTACTTTATTATTTATCATGAATGATTACTCAACTATTTTTATGTGAAAATTCAACAGTTTTTGATCGTTAATTAATATTTTATATTGAATTACGCTTTATTTAATCATGTATAATTCTCAATATTGAAATTTTCTAAAATATATTATAAAATAACACAAATGTATATTTCTGTCATTCGTTGGAAATTAAAATGCTATAGTAATAGATAGCTAATGTATTTTTCATAATTGAATAAAATCGTAATTATAATTGATGGTGTAATCCAATTTTTCTTTAGTGATAGATACATCGTTTTTAAATTTGTTTATGGAGTGAAATTAAAAAAAAAAAAAATTAAACAGTAAAATGCATTAAACCCTTCGGGGTTAAAAGTAGAAATATAATCGACCATGTTATTTACGAATGCAATTCGTAAGCTGTCAAATGCAGCCCATGATTTAGATATCTAGCTTATTTTTCACACTGAGATTTATTAAACATCAGTGCAATATAGATAAACATCGAGTGTATTGGTAACATACTTATAAACATGGTCATTTTAAATGAGAACAATTTTAATGAAAAATGGGTGTTTCAAACTGTACCTAATGCCCGTTTTGTTATGATAAACACTTGACGTAGAATAAAGGTATATTTTTTTTTTAGAAATGAGACATAATAAAAAAAATTTAAGTTTTACATTTTACATTGTCATATTAACGAGAATATATAATTTATTATAAACGAATTATGTTTATGTCCATAATCTAACTTTATAACTTAATTTTAATAACTCGTTAAATTAATATATTAATTAGAGCTATTATAAATTTTGATTTTTTCTATATATGATTTACTCTTCGCCATAGATTTTATTTTTGAATGAAAGTAGGACATTCATTAACTTAATTTTTGAGTAATTCACACCCAAAATTAAAAAATTAATTACTATTTACTGAAATACCTAGCAGCTCAATTGAAAATGTATAATAATAATACACTTTATGTCATATTTCAAATAACTCTAAATATTATCAACAAACGATAATTCTTGTATAATTCTGATAGGTAGCTAATACAATTAATTGCACACTGAATGAAAAACAAGTATACTTGTAAAATACTTTTTATTCTATAACTATTAAACTTCAACCTATGTATGTGATTTTCCATTTAAGTATAACTAAATATAAGTATTGCGTTACAGGTTAATAAGAACAAATCCATTGTGTAACAAACATTTATTTGAGATAACTTTGATTTCAATTTGTTTTATTTCATTAAATTAACAATTGCATATAATAGCATTGTATCATTTATGCGTATACATATTAAACGGTTAGAAACATAAAGTATTTATTATACCATGACCGTTTAATTACATTTTCAGAAGGGGAACCAATTAAATTGCCAGATAACTTGGAGAGTTTGCCACGTGCTGAACATTTTCCTGTCCAAAGACATCGTTGGAACACTAACGAGGTAAGCTAAATTTTAGTATACAATAAAACTGCCATTGAAATATTAAGATTACACCGACAAAATCCATTTAGTTTTTCAAAAGTTTTCTAAATAATTATTTAACAACTATAATTCAAGTTAAATTAACTAAAAACTTTTTTTTCTTTCGGTATACCCAATAACATTTAACCACTATGTATCAATATATATATATATATATATAAGGTAAACTATTACAAAATATTCCCAGGAGCGAAAAAATGGAGATAATATTGAATAATTAATTTAAAATGTATCCAAAAGTAATTTTTTTATAATATTTTAATAAAATATAAATTAATTTTTTGTTAACAATTAAATTAAATCAAGAAGTTGATTGCTTATTTTTTAATTAGGCATAAACAATTAAAACCATATGATAAAAGGTATATCATAAAAGGCCGACAAATTATTAAAATATATGTAATTTATCTAAAACTTTATTTCGAGCTAGAATGTAAGTAGGCTGAATACTTAGACCAGAAAAAATAAACTTATGAAGACTAGTAAATACAATTTATCACATTATTGATTTAATGAATACTTGAGCTCCTTTGAAGTACTTAAATTTAAAAATACAAAACCACCTGCCATAAATAATTTTGTTATGAAATTAGGTATAGTTGCAATATTAAATTATTGTAAGTAAATCACCCCAAAAGGTTTGCTTATAGGTTAATAACTTTAAATTAATATGAGATAATTTATTAATGTATTTACACACATTTACATAAAATCTTTACTAAATCGTGTGATATTGTGGCAATGGTTTTGTGGTAGATTCCGTTTCATAATTCTAAATAGATATTAATGAGTATGAAAATTTTTTATGTTATATTCTCATAAAAAAAAGGGAACAATATGATTAAAATTATAAGAAATAAAAATACATTAAAAAAATGAAAAAAGAAATACTTTAAATTTTAATTCAGTATAATATATATGATAATGGCCGTACTATTTTCCAGACCCAGGAACTATAAAAATAATATAACCATCGTAAAATAATGCCCTTAACATTAAATCGTTGTTTAAATAATAATAATACTTTTATTAGCAATAAAAAATCACGAGTTTTAAAAACAATCTCATATTGTATTATCAACTCCAATAATTTATTTGATTTGTTGAAAACCTGTAATATCTTCTTTAATTTTTCAATTAACTTATTTACAATTTTTAATCGATAAATTACATTATATTATGATTGCATTTAAAATTATATAATTATTTTCAATTAAATGCAAACATTTTGTTTAATTTGTTCGACTTTCTTATGAGATTTAAATATACTTAATATTTTTATTTAAGCAAAGGAATATAACTGTTGAAAACTAACTGTTGGAACTCGTATTACGATAATATTATTTATATTTGTACTTTTTACTGCATGTCTGATATTAAGTAGATAATATTTTATTTCTTCGCTTCGATGTATTTTTATAATCAAAACAACATATAAATATTATAAATTTAATTTAATAAAAATAAAATGAATACTACAAAACTTACGTAAACAATAGTAATTAGATTAAGGGCCAGCAAGATCTACACATAACTATTATAGCTTAGAGATAAATTCTGAGATGAAGTCGAGATATGGAACTAATATAAATTAATATATATAAGTCAATATCTAGATTTTTTTATTCATTTGATTACATCCTTATTAGCTGAGTAAATGTCCTTCGATCATTATTTTGTCATCAAATCATTTCTCTTCCAAAAAACGGTCAACTACATTTTATAATTCTTTTATTAGTTATTGAAAATATTAATTTTTTTTTTTTTTTTAAATTCATTACCATTTTTATTTGATTACTAAATATAAATCAATCAATTTTCAATAACTTCATTTAATTTTTATTCCACTAAAGGTTACGCAAAATCAATGCAGTAACTTTTTACACGAAACACAATTATTAACAAGAGTAAAGAAAGAATAAATTAAAATTAAGAGTCTTACTATTTTTATTTTTAATAATTAGTGAAACCAACTCTTAGTATATTGAATATAAGAATGACATACGGAGAGGTAAATAAAAAAAAAATATCTCGTTTGCCTGATTTTTATATAAATACATATAAAAAAAATTGGAAAACTATGTTATATCCGTTGATAAAAATACTTAAAATAAGATAAAACTATTTTTATTCATTTTGTCATTGTATAAATAATTAATGTTATACTATGCTTGTCATTTGAAATTATTTATAACTTATATATAATAAACTTATAAATTATTTATTAGGTATATGATATTTTTTGTGACAAACTGTAATGAAGCAACATTCAAAATAAAAACCATTTCAGAAATATTGTATAGTTTTCGAAAGCAATAAGCTGTAAATTCAATGTATCATTTTTTATAAACACTAAACGGTTTTTAATGTGTTCTGATACATATTTATATCAAACTAGTGAAGACTAGTTTTGTTCATATGTGAAATGTCAATTTAGACGTCATTGGGTACGGACTGTCCGCTAGGGATTCATGTGAAAGGACTGCCTTTCCCCCCTACTTTTCCTACATGCCATTTCGTCGGTTGAATATAAAACGGCAAATTTGTCGGATTTCATACTCTATTAGACTTCTACCTTCCCATTTCTACAAAATCACCCGTGACTTGGCTGACGTGCATTCATATGATTTAATTCTATTGCTCGGCTGAACCATCTTTCATTTCTTTTTTTAATGATTTTTTCCAATCACCTATCATGGCGAAGCTAACAATTATGTCAATAGAATTAATGTTATAGCTATATTTTAATATTACAGCGTGAATAACGTGATAATGATTTCAAAATTTATTGTATATTTATATATTTCTGCATTATTAAAATTAAACGATGAAATAAAACTTCAAAGATTTCATGTAAAAACAGTTAAATTACATAAAGAAGGTCATTTATTTCATGCATATCGATTTCATTTAGCTATATGTATTTACAGCTACTATAATTCATAATATAATTAAAACTTGTTTTTAAGTAATTCAAATCTTATATACAGATCTTAATTAATAATGAAGTTTAATTTTTATCCATTTATTGCACATTAATCTTCACTGTTATTTTTATTTTTATTTGAAAGATATAATAAAATGGAAAAAATAGATTTCAATTTCTCTTCGTATAATTATCCAAATTAGTCATTATATATGTGTATGTAATTTTATAATATTTAGGAAATTATTCATTATAATTCATAATTATTGATATATTTTATTTCCTGAGATAATCCATATATTTTGATGAATAACAGAATAACACAACTTTATGTTTTCATCCATAACATATACAACAAATTACATAAATCCAACATTTCTAAGTTATTAGAAAAAATAAATCTTAAAAAAATTGTAATATTTAATAATTTTTTCATGTTTGACTCAATTAAATGTTTAATGTTTATATTTAATCATTAAATTATTATAATGATATTAATTTATTTATTTTAATATTTTGAAATTAAAAAAATATATGTAAGTGTATATATATTATCCATTAGAAACATTCCCATCAAATAAACTTGGATTAAGTTTAGTGTTATTGATTTTTATTTAATCTAACGTACATTTATATATTTATTTTGTTCGTGAAACATTAAGTACTGTTTTTGTCATTATTTTGCTTTTTTGATTGTATTTTTATTTGTGTTTTGTATATGATAATGTCCATTATTAGTTTTGTTCGATCATATCATGAGAAATATAATAAAAATATAGAAATAACCAAATAACATATTGTCGATTGTGTATTAAATATAAGTTTTATTCTTAACACAAGATTGAAATATTTCATTTGTTTAAAAAATAAATAAACACACAACATCTACACAGTATTTGGACAAATTTCTATCTTTTCGAATGTCAACAATATTTAATAGCCAACTCTAAATCGATATTATAAAAACTTAATATTTAAAATGAAATCAAAATCGCTAGAGGGATTGAAAGCCATGATGTGGCACCTATATGGGGGAATAAATTGTTTTTTCCCCAGCTGGAACCAGCTCGGAAACAACATCCCTCAAAAACAATTGTAATAAAATAGTTTTATTTGCATTCCTCTCTTTTATCGTTACCCCGATCTCGGCGGTGTATACATTTATTTTATACATGGGTATATACATATAATCAATTTTTTCTTGTTTCGAAAAAATAATGCTTTACACAATGTCATCAGTTATTTTTTCATGGTTGAATTCATACCGAGCCTATTTGCCCACATGGCAATTGATATTGAAATCAATCATGTTATTACAAAAAAGCTATTATAATACTATAATGAGAATAGTTTATTATTTTTTAAATTTTTGCTTAATTTTGCTTTTAATTCTCATTATTTCATAAAAATGCTCTAAAATTATTGATACTATAGTTTTCTGTCAATGGCTAATGTTTTTCACATTTTTTTATCAACTTTATTCATTAATTATTATTGATAATAAATTTAAAACAAATACTAAAATATCAGTTTTACTTTGTTTAGTTTATAACCAAAAATATCTAAAAATGTATGCATATTTACTTGATACATATTTTCCCTATAAATAATTTACTTATTAATCAAATATTAAATACTATAATTATTTCAATTTCATTTTGATACATTTCTAAATAAATATATATTTTAAACTAATATTATGTAATTAAATTAACTATTTAATGAATTTTGTTCAATGTCTTTAACTTACTCAACAGTATACGTAATATAATATAATTTAATTTAATGTAAAACAGTGTTTATAATGTTAAATATTTTATTAAAACATGAAAAAAAATAACTCATATAGTAACTGTAGTAAAACTTAAGTTATTACAATACAATACAATGTATAATTGAATATGAACATAACTAAATACTAGTATAAGTATCAAACATCTAATGGCTCAAAAATATACTTACACATGTAAAATGTATATTATTTTTCTGCGTAATCAAAAACTATTTTAAATACCCATCTCTATTTTGATAA